TAAATTTAGTTTACTAATAAATTGCATGTGAAATGTGTCAGTATACTACTAGAACAGAACTAGAGCAGAACTTGAACTGAACTTGAACTGAACTTGAACTGAACTTGAACTGAACTTTGAACTGAACTTGAACTGAACTAGAACAGAAGTAGAACAGAACTAGTACAGAACTAGAACAGAACTAGAACAGAACTAGAACAGAACTAGAACAGAACTAGAACAGAACTAGAACAGAACTAGAACAGAACTAGAACAGAACTAGAACAGAACTAGAACTGAACAAGAACTGAACACCCGAACTGAACTAGAACTGAACTAGAACTGAACTAGAACTGAACTAGAACTGAACTAGAACTGAACTAATGAACTGAAACTAGAACTGAACTAGAACTGAACTAGAACTGAACTAGAACTGAACTATTAACTGAACTAGAAATGGACAAGAACTGAACTAGAACTGAACTAGAACTGAACTAGAACTGAACTAGAACTGAACTAGAACTGATTTATAACTGAACTAGAACTGAACTAGAACTGAACTAGAACTGAACTAGAACTGAACTAGAACTGAACTAGAACTGAACTAGAACTGAACTAGAACTGAACTAGAACTGAACTAGAACTGAACTAGAACTGAACTAGAACTGAACTAGAACTGAACTAGAACTGAACTAGAACTGAACTAGAACTGAACTAGAACTGAACTAGAACTGAACTAGAACTGAACTAGACTGAACTAGAAAGAACTGAACTAGAACTGAACTAGAACTGAACTAGAACTGAACTAGAACTGAACTAGAACTGAACTAGAACTGAACTAGAACTGAACTAGAACTGAACTAGAACTGAACAAGAACTGAACTAGAACTAACAAAACTGAACTAGAACTGAACTAGAACTGAACTAGAACTGAACTAGAACTGAACTAGAACTGAACTAGAACTGAACTAGAACTGAACTAGAACTGAACTAGAACTGAACTAGAACTGAACTAGAACTGAACTAGAACTGAACTAGAACTGAACAGAACTGAACTAGAACTGAACTAGAACTGAACTAGAACTGAACTAGAACTGAACTAGAACTGAACTAGAACTGAACTAGAACTGAACTAGAACTGAACTAGAACTGAACTAGAACTGAACTAGAACTGAACTAGAACTGAACTAGAACTGAACTAGAACTGAACTAGAACTGAACTAGAACTGAACTAGAACTGAACTAGAACTGAACTAGAACTGAACTAGAACTGAACTAGAACTGAACTAGAACTGAACTAGAACTGAACTAGAACTGAACTAGAACTGAACTAGAACTGAACTAGAACTGAACTAGAACTGAACTAGAACTGAACTAGAACTGAACTAGAACTGAACTAGAACTGAACTAGAACTGAACTAGAACTGAACTAGAACTGAACTAGAACTGAACTAGAACTGAACTAGAACTGAACTAGAACTGACTAGAACTGAACTAGAACTGAACTAGAACTGAACTAGAACTGAACTAGAACTGAACAAACTGAACAGAACTGAACTAGAACTGAACTAGAACTGAACTAGAACTGAACTAGAACTGAACTAGAACTGAACTAGAACTGAACTAGAACTGAACTAGAACTGAACTAGAACTGAACTAGAACTGAACTAGAACTGAACTAGAACTGAACTAGAACTGAACTAGAACTGAACTAGAACTGAACTAGAACTGAATAACTGAACTAGAACTGAACTAGACTGAACTAGAACTGAACTAGAACTGAACTAGAACTGAACTAGAACTGAACTAGAACTGAACTAGAACTGAACTAGAACTGAACAGAACTGAACAAATGAACTAGAACTGAACTAGAACTGAACTAGAACTGAACTAGAACTGAACTAGAACTGAACTAGAACTGAACTAGAACTGAACTAGAACTGAACTAGAACTGAACTAGAACTGAACTAGAACTGAACTAGAACTGAACTAGAACTGAACTAGAACTGAACTAGAACTGAACTAGAACTGAACTAGAACTGAACTAGAACTGAACTAGAACTGAACTAGAACTGAACTAGAACTGAACTAGAACTGAACTAGAACTGAACTAGAACTGAACTAGAACTGAACTAGAACTGAACTAGAACTGAACTAGAACTGAACTAGAACTGAACTAGAACTGAACTAGAACTGAACTAGAACTGAACTAGAACTGAACTAGAACTGAACTAGAACTGAACAAGAACTGAACGAACTGAACTAGAACTGAACTAGAACTGAACTAGAACTGAACTAGAACTGAACTAGAACTGAACTAGAACTGAACTAGAACTGAACTAGAACTGAACTAGAACTGAACTAGAACAGAACTAGAACAGAACTAGAACAGAACTAGAACAGAACTAGAACATAACTAGAACAGAACTAGAACAGAACTAGAACAGAACTAGAACATAACTAGAACATAACTAGAACAGAACTAGAACAGAACTAGAACAGAACTAGAACTAGAACAGAACTAGAACAGAACTAGAACAGAACTAGAACTGAACTAGAACTGAACTAGAACTGAACTAGAACTGAACTAGAACTGAACTAGAACTGAACTAGAACTGAACTAGAACTGAACTAGAACTGAACTAGAACTGAACTAGAACTGAACTAGAACTGAACTAGAACTGAACTAGAACTGAACTAGAACTGAACTAGAACTGAACTAGAACTGAACTAGAACTGAACTAGAACTGAACTAGAACTGAACTAGAACTGAACTAGAACTGAACTAGAACTGAACTAGAACTGAACCAGAACTGAACTAGAAATGAACTAGAATTGAACTAGAACTGAAAGAACTGAACTAGAACTAACCTAGAACTGAACTAGAACTGAACTAGAACTGAACTAGAACTGAACTAGAACTGAACTAGAACTGAACTAGAACTGAACTAGAACTGAACTAGAACTGAACTAGAACTGAACTAGAACTGAACTAGAACTGAAATAGAACTGAACTAGAACTGACCTAGAACTGAACTAGAACTGAACTAGAACTGAACTAGAACTGAACTAGAACTGAACTAGAACTGAACAAGAATTGAACTAGAACAGAACTAGAACAGAACTAGAACAGAACTAGAACAGAACTAGAACAGAACTAGAACAGAACTAGAACAGAACTAGAAAACTAGAACAGAACTAGAACAGAACTAGAACAGAACTAGAACAGAACTAGAACAGAACTAGAACAGAACTAGAACAGAACTAGAACAGAACTAGAACAGAACTAGAACAGAACTAGAACAGAACTAGAACAGAACTAGAACAGAACTAGAACAGAACTAGAACAGAACTAGAACAGAACTAGAACAGAACTAGAACAGAACTAGAACAGAACTAGAACAGAACTAGAACAGAACTAGAACAGAACTAGAACAAACTAGAACAGAACTAGAACAGAACTAGAACAGAACTAGAACAGAACTAGAACAGAACTAGAACAGAACTAGAACAGAACTAGAACAGAACTAGAACAGAACTAGAACAGAACTAGAACAGAACTAGAACAGAACTAGAACAGAACTAGAACAGAACTAGAACAGAACTAGAACAGAACTGGAACAGAACTAGAACAGAACTAGAACAGAACTAGAACAGAACTAGAACAGAACTAGAACAGAACTAGAACAGAACTAGAACAGAACTAGAACAGAACTAGAACAGAACTAGAACAGAACTAGAACAGAACTAGAACAGAACTAGAACAAACTAGAACAACTAGAACAGAACTAGAACAGAACTAGAACAGAACTAGAACAGAACTAGAACAGAACTAGAACAGAACTAGAACAGAACTAGAACAGAACTAGAACAGAACTAGAACAGAACTAGAACAGAACTAGAACAGAACTAGAACAGAACTAGAACAGAACTAGAACAGAACTAGAACAGAACTAGAACAGAACTAGAACAGAACTAGAACAGAACTAGAACAGAACTAGAACAGAACTAGAACAGAACTAAACAGAACTAAACAGAACTAGAACAGAACTAGAACTGAACAAGAACAGAACTAGAACAGAACTAGAACAGAACTAGAACAGAACTAGAACAGAACTAGAACTGAACTAGAACTAGAACTGAACTAGAACTGAACTAGAACTGAACTAGAACTGAACTAGAACTGAACTAGAACTGAACTAGAACTGAACTAGATCTGAACTAGAACTGAACTAGAACTGAACTAGAACTGAACTAGAACTGAACTAGAACTGAACTAGAACTGAACTAGAACTGAAACTAGAACTGAACTAGAACTGAACTAGAACTAAACTAGAACTGAACTAGAACTAGAACTGAACTAGACAACACCTTTACATATAGTTTTTCTGTTTATAAATAAATATTGTTTTATATTACCCTAATTTTTAGATTGATAATTAAATAGATAACTAAGATAAATAAGTTAAATATTTAAGAGAAAATATATGTATATTCAAATTAAAACTAAATATACTTAAAGTTAAAAAAGGTTTTTTTAAGAAATGCTGTTACTACAAACTTAAATAAATTAAATCAGTTTGTGCTATAAATTTTTGTTGTTGATTTTTTTAAAGAATGTAAAATTGTTTAGGTTAGGTGTGGTGTTGGAGTTGCGGGTTAAACTTTACAATTATGTGTTTTTTTATGCAAAAAGTTGGGGCAAAGCCTTAAAGTATTGCCGTATTAAAAATATATATATTGCACTGTATACCTATTGAGATTGCTGTTATAATTATGGACATTTATTTATATTTTTTTTCTTGTATTTACATTAAATTGTTATTTTTTGTGCTAAAAAATATTACAAACAAACAAATAGTTTTGAGAAATTAAAAATTATTTTAAAACTACACTTACATTTACTAAATATTTATATAAAAATAATAAAATGAATTTACAGTACATATAAAAAATTAAAAGGAAACATTTTAGTAGCAGCTTTAAATATAAGTTTTTTTAAAAAACTACAGTTTTACAAGAAAAATTTTCAAAAAACAAAAATTTTCTTAAAATATCATTTCATTAAGAAAAAAAAAATTATGAAAAAATATTTCCAAAAATTTTTAAGCTAAAATTGTTTTAAAAGAAACCTAGAACATAAAATAGCAGCTATACATTCTACACATTTGGATAGGAGGGCAGTTTAGCCGTTTCCACTTTGTCCACCACCTTAAAGGAGGGGAATAGACCCGCTTGATTGGTGCGGGTATTTTTACCCTTTGAAAAACCATCCCAATGGTTGCCAGCAACCCCCACCAAATCACCCGGCTGCATATGCATTTCATCATGATTGCGCGCCTTGTGTGGTATGACCACCAGGCGATTGTGTGGATTTTGTCCGCCATAATAGTAAATATCGTCCAGCGATTTAAACGATGCGCAGCATCTGGATACAAAGTTTGCATAATTTCATATGCAACACGGCAGACTTGTGAGCTAAAGGTACAAACTAAATGGTCAGATAAAGATAGTAAATGTATGTCCAAAATGATGCCATTTAAGGCAGTGTCTGTATAGCGTGTTGAAACAGCGGCCATGCGTGCCACCTCAGCATCACCAATGATTTCGTAATGAGGATATTTTTTGCGTGCTTCCTCTATGACACGAGCATCATCGGAGGCCAAAAATATGCGTCTTGGTACGGTGGTACCATTGATTTCTTGTGTCAAAAAGTAATCTTCGACATGTGTCATATATTCTTCTATACTATGGAAAGCAGCCTCGGTACCGACTTTATCTGTGCGCCGAACGTGGACCCTATATAATACAAAAAATAATCCATTATTTCCTATACATTTTTTTTAATTTTTTCTCTACTCACCCCACTATTGGTTTCTTCCAGCCCAATTTAGCCATGCCCGATTCTAAGAACTCTTTAGTGCCCTGTTGCGGTCTTAATAAATACTTTAGAAATTGTCCCACCCACCATACTATGGGATCACCGTGTAAACGTTTAGTCTAGGCGCCAAATCTTCTGGTATGGCCAAAGGCAAATAGGGTGGTCTTGGCATTAGAGAATCTATAATTGGCAATACTAATACTTGTGTCTCTGGGCGTCCCGGCCAGTTATTGGCATGAGCACCATCTAGCTCAAAACAGGAATCAGAAACAGGTTGAAAAACCTCTTCCCATCCACCCTTATGATAACGCCAACCTCTAGATTTTAAAATCAAAGTCCTTTCGGTGGCATAGGCCACTATGAAACAATAGACCGCATGATGTAATTGACAGCCATAACCGCAACCCTTATTCAATTTACACACCAGCTTGCGAGCCTTCGCACAATCTGGAGGATTTTGTAAATGGTGTATTCGCCTTTGCACTAAATCACTTAAATCTTTAGCCTCTTTGTGGCGCCAGGCCTCATAACCATCTAGCTGCCTTAAACGGTCCATATCGCTCAGCAGTGAACGTTTGTGTTCGGCTCCCATTATGAGTACACGATTGATTTCTTCAGTCATATCAGTGCCCGGTTCTCGGGTCACCTGTTTGCGTATTTTACCCAATTCATTGCTGAAATAATTCCATATTTCGCCTATATTGTTTTGTATACGCCGACGCAAAAGTTCATATTCGATTGTGGGTTCATTTGAGGCACTGCCATAGGGTAATGGAGATTCGACTTTGTTCTCCCCTCCTAAGGGATTTTGTATATTATACTCGAGTTTTTGTATGAGTTTGAGGGCTGACTGTTTGTCAACATGGTCGCTGGAAGTAAAAGAGTAGAAAAGAATAACATTAACTTAAATAATATAATAATGCTTATTTCTATATTATACGAAATAAATTATTTTCGAAAAACTGGAGTTTCAGAAAGGTACCGTCCCGCCCTATTCGGCAACGATTTGTAGCTAATCAGACAACATCGATATAGTTTAAAAGCTAGAACTGTAACGTAAAAGTTCTGTCGGAACAGAACTAGAATAGAACTAGAACAGAACTAGAACAGAACTAGAACAGAGAACTAGAACTGAACTAGAACAGAACTAGAACAGAACTAGAACAGAACTAGAACAGGAACTAGAACAGTGGAACTAGAACAGAACTAGGAACAGAACTAGAACAGAACTAGAACAGAACTAGAACAGGAACTAGAAACAGAACTAGAACAGAACTAGAACAGAACTAGAACAGACTTGAACAGAACTAGAACAGACCTAGAACAGAAACTAGAACAGAACTAGAACAGAACTAGAACAGAACTAGAAACAGAACTAGAACAGCAGAACTAGCACAGCACGTAGAACAGAACTAGACCAGAAACTAGAACCAAACTAGAACAAAACTAGAACAGAACTAAACCGAAACTTAGAACAGAACTAGAACAGGAACTAGACACAGAACTAGAACAGAACTAGAACAGAACTAGAACAGAACTAGAACAGAACTCGAACAAACTAGAACAGAACTAGAACAGAACTAGAACAGAACTAGAACAGAACTAGAACAGAACTAGAACAGAACTAGAACAGAACTAGAACAGAACTAGAACAGAACTAGAACAGAACTAGAACAGAACTAGAACAGAACTAGAACAGAACTAGAACAGAACTAGAACAGAACTAGAACAGAACTAGAACAGAACTAGAACAGAACTAGAACAGAACTCGAACAGAACTAGAACAGAACTAGAACAGAACTAGAACAGAACTAGAACAGAACTAGAACAGAACTAGAACAGAACTAGAACAGAACTAGAACAGAACTAGAACAGAACTAGAACAGAACTAGAACGAACTAGAACAGAACTAGAACAGAACTAGAACAGAACTAGAACAGAACTAGAACAGAACTAGAACAGAACTAGAACAGAACTAGAACAGAACTAGAACAGAACTAGAACAGAACTAGAAACAGAAACTAGAACAGAACTAGAACAGAACGAACAGACTAGAAACAGAACTAGAACAGAACTAGAACAGAACTAGAACAGAACTAGAACAGAACTAGAACCGAACTAGAACAGCAACTAGAACAGAACTAGAACAGGAACTAGAACGAGAACTAGAACAGAACTAACTAGGAACAGAACTAGAACAGAACTAGAACAAGCAACTAGAACAGAACTAGAACGAACTAGGAACTAGAACAGAACTAGAAACAGAACTAGAACAGAACTAGAAACAGAACGAGAACAGAACGATAACTAGAACAGAACTAGAAACAGAACTAGAACAGGAACTAGAACAGAAACTAGAACAGATCTAAAGGAACTCAGAACAGAACTAGAACAGAACTAGAACCAGAAACTAGAACAGAAACTAGAACAGAACTAGAACAGAACTAGAACAGAACTAGAACAGACTAGAACAGAACTAGAACAGAATCTAGAACAGAACTAGAACAGAACTAGAACAGAACTAGAACAGAACTAGAACAGAACTAGAACCAGAACTAGAACAGAACTAGAACAGAACTAGAACAGAACTAGAACAGAACTAGAACAGAACTAGAACAGAACTAGAACAGAACTAGAACAGAACTAGAACAGACTAGAACAGAACTAGAACAGAACAAGAACAGAATCTAAGAACAACAAAAATGAAACTGCAACAAATCGTATAAAAGAGAGAGGCTAGAACTAGAACTAGAACAGAACTCTAAGAACAACAAAAATGAAACTGCAACAAATCGTATAAAATAGAGAGGCTAGAACTAGAACAGACTAGAACAGAACTAGAACAGAACTAGAACAGAACTAGAACAGAACTAGAACTAGTACAGAACTAGAACTAGTACAGAACTAGTACAGAACTAGAACAGAACTAAAACAGAACTAGAACAGAACTGGAACAGAACTAGAACAGAACTAGAACAGAACTAGAACAGAACTAGAACAGAACTAGAACAGAACTAGAACAGAACAGAACTAGAACAGAACTAGAACAGAACTAGAACAGAACTAGAATAGAACTAGAACAGAACTAGAACAGAACTAGAACAGAACTAGAACAGAACTAGAAGAGAACTAGAAAGAACTAGAACAGAACTAGAACAGAACTACAGAACTAGAACAGAACTAGAACAGAACTAGAACAGAACTAGAACAGAACTAGAACAGAACTAGAACAGAACTAGAACAGAACTAGAACAGAACTAGAACAGAACTAGAACAGAACTAGAACAGAACTAGAACAGAACTAGAACAGAACTAGAACAGAACTAGAACAGAACTACAGAACTAGAACAGAACTAGAACAGAACTAGAACAGAACTAGAACAGAACTAGAACAGAACTAGAACAGAACTAGAACAACTAGAACAGAACTAGAACAGAACTAGAACAACTAGAACAGAACTAGAACAGAACTAGAACAGAACTAGAACAGAACTAGAACAGAACTAGAACAGAACTAGAACAGAACTAGAACAGAACTAGAACAGAACTAGAACAGAACTAGAACAGAACTAGACAGAACTAGAACCAGAACTAGAACAGAACTAGAACAGAACTAGACAGAACTAGAACGAAACTAGAACAGAATAGAACAGAACTAGAACAGAACTAGAACAGAACATGAGAAGAGCAACTAGAACAGAACAGAACAGCACTAGAACAGAACTAGAACAGAACTAGAACAGCAGAACTAGAACAGCAGAACTTGAAGAGACACATAGAAAACAGAACAGAACAGAACTAGGACAGAACTAGAACAGAACTAGAACAGAACTTAGAACAGACACTAGAAAACAGAACTAGAACAGAACTAGAACAAAACTAGAAACAGAACTAGCACGAAAACAGAACAAAAAACTAGAACAAAACTAGAACAGAACTAGATTTGGGTTGTCCTGACTCCACACAGCTGTTAACATCAGTTTTTCATACACATATTTACAGTAATCGGTATCATAGTAAATAGTAGAGGTCGTTTGTAGTTCGCTAGCATTTTTCGTTCATCTTACTGTCCTAGGTCTCATTCTGCACATTACTGATGATAAAGATTTAGCCTTGCATACCAAAGAGGGCCAACAACATAAAAAGTGGGAAACGTAGGTAAATCGGCAATACTATCAGAATGAATTGGTCTGTTTAGTCGTGGTCACTTTAGTAATCACTTTAGCATTGGAGAGTTTATCTTTCACGACCAAGGACATAAGACCATTTATATCCTTGTAATTGTCTGTAGTAGTCTTTAACAATAAGACCAAGATTCTTAAATATAGAATACAGATGCTGTAAGGTAAGATATGGAAAGTAATCCATAGTACGCTTAACCCTTCGCATTTTGAAAGAAGACTCAAGGAGACCAACCTCGCAGGGAGTGGGATATGTTCTGCCAGTAAATTGGTCAAGCTAACGCGCTTCTTTTTCCATTAAAAAACTTGCTGGATGTATAAGAATTTATCTTCAAACCAAATTAAATAATTAGATAATCAAACATGATTCCTAATAATGAAAATATCACATTTCTAACGGAATTTAGATAGTTTTACCTTCTTTAACCATTAATATACCCATTTTCAAAAGAATCAAAGAAATTCAAGAAAACCCTATAGAATTACCAACATTATAATAACTTCACAATGGACTCTTGAACCCATACATTTGATATTGTAATACATTTTGAATATTCATTCATAATTTTCAAACAACAACAATACGGAAATTCATTACAAAGGGCATGTAAATACGAGTACTTCTTTTAGTTCTTTCACTCATTCTACTCACTTTTACATAATTTTTTTTATGTCACGGAATAGTTTTTCTTTTAACAATGACATTTTATATAGTATACAACGAACAACAAACTTACAATAAATAATCCACACACAAAACAACATAATAAATAAGCGCCGGAAATGACACCAGGTTGAACGCCATTTAACTAACGAGGCATATAGTGTGCAACGAATAGAAGTCGTCGGTGGCATAGAGAGTAAGTACCCGCACATAAATATGCCACACTAAAGAACAAAACAATGAGGAACGCGCAAAAATATCTCGACAAAAAAAAATCTGGGCAAATCTCCAACTTTTATGTTTAAAAGTACTGATCTTTTGTTGATGCCTCATGTATCCAATGTTGTGCATAAAATTTTAAATTGTGCGTAACCTGCATAATGTTCATGAATGAGTGGATGAATATGTTTGTTAAAACTTTACAAGCATTTAGGAAACCACATGCAACAACCGAACGAACACAATACCCTCCCTGAATGATGAATGAATTAAAGAATGAATGAATGACTGACTGTTGCTGCATGTAAAATGGTTGACTGTGTATTGTTCATGCCATTTTTAACTGAGCTGGACAGAGTAGTGATAATAATTTCATTAATATTTAAATACCACTGGGTACACGTGTAATTTGTTGTGAAAAAAGTTGTTGTTCGAAAAGTTTACAAAAGCTGTTTTTATAATGTAAATATGTTATTAAGTAATTCCAAAAACCAGGAGTTGTGTGGATTTTGGTGGAAGGGTAGAAGCTCTATATTATTAGAAATGTTAAGTTTTAACTATGAACCGATCAAATAATAAATTTACAGATCTTGAGGATCTGAGTTACCACTTTTTCTAACGCCTAAGCAACCAAAGTTGGATAGGATTGAAAGTCGGAAGTATTCTCAGTATTCTTTAACTTTTTCTAGGAAAGAGAAAGTATAATGACCAATACCTAAGTGTCTTAAACGCTTATCTGTTCAACAACAGATATGGGAACAATTCCCAATAGGAGTGTTCCTAAATTCCCAAAAAAATTGTACATAATTTCGACAAAAGCTTGAGTTTCCAAGATAATTGGGTCCAACGACGACGAAAGACTGGCAATGACAGAAAAAATATACTGTTCTCTTCACATACTCTACAAGTTGAACTCAGCATTCTTTCAGCATGATGATCAATACTTAAGTGTTAAGCCATAACCTTGGTATCTCTTTGAAAGGCCCCTGATATTCCGAAATGTCGGAATCTTCAGAGATCGGATGACCTTTAAACGTTATCTTAATTTTACTATAAAACTTTTTGTGCATTGGATATCCAAATGAAACGTCTATAGTAACATAATGGCACCAGAAATTGGTGAGTTTACAGCACAAATTGTACATGTTTTGGAGATCTAAAAACACCATCTATTAGGATCGTAATAGTTTTAATTATAACCTCCATTAATTCCTCTAACAGGTGCATTTAAAATCTTCAATGCAAATGAAAACTTCCACTCAGTTTAAATGCAATAACTGCGTCTCTGCTGTCCACAAACAATTAAGTGTTCCCATTTTCTAACAATTTGCCCATGTGTTCTTTACAATATATAATTAAATATTGTATAGATAGATACTCTGTTTTCCCTTAAGTGTACCGTAGTTAAAACGAACGAACGGTCGGCAGTCAGGCCGTTTAGCTTGACTTGGGGTTAATTAACATTTACAGTTACATTTTCCATAAATACACAATTGTCATTGTTTTATGTTCATTTCTTTGTTTACTCGTTATGATTCATGATTTTAAAAAGTACATTAGAACACGCAATTACAAAATTTATTTAAAATTATGTCCATAATTAACAATTGGTTTAAAAAACAATAAAATGGATGTAATAGAGTAAATATAGATTTTTTGGAATAGTTATAAATAATAAGCGACATAAAAGTTAAATATTATTATGTAGTTGAGATAAGGTTTATTGGATAGTTTTTTACTTCCTTCAGGTAAAATAAATGTATATTATACATTATATAAACAGATACATTTTAGTAAGTACTTCAAGCGACCTACGACACTGACAATATTAGGAACAATAGATCGCTAATAACGGCGAATATAAACAGTGAATATCACAACGATTGTCAGTGCTAGATGCGTGTGTACTTTTTCGGAACAATTGAGCATTTACATGAGAACTGAACTAGAGCTGAACTAGAACAGAACTAGAACAAAACTAGAACAGAATTAGAACAGAACTAGAACAGAACTAGAACAGAATTAGAACAGAACTAGAACAGAACTAGAACATAACTAGAACAGAACTAGAGCAGAACTAGAACAGAACTAGAACAGAACTAGAACAAACTAGAACAGAACTAAAACAGAACTAGAACAGAACTAGAACAGAACTAGAACAGAACTAGAAAAAACTAGAACAGAACTAGAACAGAACTAGAACAGAACTAGAACAGAACTAGAACAGAACTAGAACAGAACTAGAACAGAACTAGAACAGAACTAGAACAGAACTAGAACAGAACTAGAACAGAACTAGAACAGAACTAGAACAGCACTAGAACAGAACTAGAACAGAACTAGAACAGAACTAGAACAGAACTAGAACAGAACTAGAACAGAACTAGAACAGAACTAGAACAGAACTAGAACAGAACTAGAACAGAACTAGAACAGAACTAGAACAGAACTAGAACAGAACTAGAACAGAACTAGAACAGAACTAGAACAGAACTAGAACAGTTCTAGAACAACAGTTCTAGAACAGAACTAGAACAGACTAGAACAGAACTAGAACAGAACTAGAACAGAACTAGAACAGAACTAGAACAGAACTAGAACAGAACTAGAACAGAACTAGAACAGAACTAGAACAGAACTAGAAAAAAACTAGAAAAGAACTAATACAGAACTAGAACAGAACTAGAACAGAACTAGAACAGAACTAGAACAGAACTAGAACAGAACTAGAACAGAACTAGAACAGAACTAGAACAGAACTAGAACAGAACTAGAACAGAACTAGAACAGAACTAGAACAGAACTAGAACAGAACTAGAACAGAACTAGAACAGAACTAGAACAGAACTAGAACAGAACTAGAACAGAACTAAACCAGAACTAGAACAGAACTAGAACAGAACTAGAACAGAACTAGAACAGAACTAGAAAGAACTAGAACAGAACTAGAACAGAACTAGAACAGAACTAGAACAGAACTAGAACAGAACTAGAACAGAACTAGAACAGAACTAGAACAGAACTAAACAGAACTAGAACAGAACTAGAACAGAACTAGAACAGAACTAGAACAGAACTAGAACAACTAGAACAGAACTAGAACAGAACTAGAACAGAACTAGAACAGAACTAGAACAGAAAGAAAAACTAGAACAGAACTAGAACAGAACTAGAACAGAACTAAACAGAACTAGAACAGAACTAGAACAGAACTAGAACAGAACTAGAACAGAACTAGAACAGAACTAGAACAGAACTAGAACAGAACTAGAACAGAACTAGAACAGAACTAGAACAGAACTAGAACAGAACTAGAACAGAACTAGAACAGAACTAGAACAGAACTAGAACAGAACTAGAACAGAACTAGAACAGAACTAGAACAGAACTAGAACAGAACTAGAACAGAACTAGAACAGAACTAGAACAGAACTAGAACAGAACTAGAACAGAACTAGAACAGAACTAGAACAGAACTAGAACAGAACTAGAACAGAACTAGAACAGAACTAGAACAGAACTAGAACAGAACTAGAACAGAACTAGAACAGAACTAGAACAGAACTAGAACAGAACTAGAACAGAACTAGAACAGAACTAGAACAACTAGAACAGAACTAGAACAGAACTAGAACAGAACTAGAACAGAACTAGAACAGAACTAGAACAGAACTAGAACAGAACTAGAACAGAACTAGAACAGAACTAGAACAGAACTAGAACAGAACTAGAACAGAACTAGAACAGAACTAGAACAGAACTAGAACAGAACTAGAACAGAACTAGAACAGAACTAGAACAGAACTAGAACAGAACTAGAACAGAACTAGAACAGAACTAGAACAGAACTAGAACAGAACTAGAACAGAACTAGAACAGAACTAGAACAGAACTAGAACAGAACTAGAACAGAACTAGAACAGAACTAGAACAGAACTAGAACAGAACTAGAACAGAACTAGAACAGAACTAGAACTAGAACAGAACTAGAACAGAACTAGAACAGAACTAGAACAGAACTAGAACAGAACTAGAACAGAACTAGAACAGAACTAGAACAGAACTAGAACAGAACTAGAACAGAACTAGAACAGAACTAGAACAGAACTAGAACAGAACTAGAACAGAACTAGAACAGAACTAGAACAGAACTGAACAGAACAGAACTAGAACAGAACTAGAACAGAACAGAACTAGAACAGAACTAGAACAGAACTAGAACAGAACTAGAACAGAACTAGAACAGAACAGAACTAGAACAGAACGAACTAGAACAGAACTAGAACAGAACTAGAACAGAACTAGAACAGAACAGAACAGAACAGAACAGAACTAGAACAGAACTAGAACAGAACTAGAAACAGAACTAGAACAGAACTAGAACAGAACTAGAACAAACTAGAACAGAACTAGAACAGAACTAGAACAGAACTAGAACAGAACTAGAACAGAACTAGAACAGAACAGAACTAGAACAGAACTAGAACAGAACTAGAACAGAACTAGAACAGAACTAGAACAAATTAGAACAGAACTAGAACAGAACTAGAACAGAACTAGAACAGAACTAGAACAGAACTAGAACAGAACTAGAACAGAACTAGAACAGAACTAGAACAGAACTAGAACAGAACTAGAACAGAACTAGAACAGAACTAGAACAGAACTAGAACAGAACTAGAACAGAACTAGAACAGAACTAGAACAGAACTAGAACAGAACTAGAACAGAACTAGAACAGAACTAGAACAAAACTAGAACAGAACTAGAATAGAACTAGAACAGAACTAGAACAGAACTAGAACAGAACTAGAACAGAACTAGAACAGAACTAGAACAGAACTAGAACAGAAATAGAACAGACCTAGAACTGAATTAGCTCAAAGACGCTACGAGCGAGTGATATTCAACCTTTTTTATTAAGCCAAATTATGAATGCATTTTACCTGGATCTAAATGTAATTTTGCACTCTTGAATAAACCAAGACTTTTGTTTTAGTCTAGTCGACATTTTTTATTGGGATTAAAGTTTTCATTCCCAGCAAGATTATGTCCATCCACCATTTTCGCCATGACATTGACATTAAACTAAGTTTTCGATTGAAATGTTCTAAGAAATTGTTGAGCTCAGACCAACGAAGATTCAACGTTTCGTAGCTGAGCAAGGACTGAATGTTTCATAATTTTATAACGACAAAGTTTCTGCACATGAATAATTTATAGTTTCGCATAGTTTTAAATATTTTTTTTAAGTTATAACCTTATCACTAATATTATTGCCCAATGAAAACAAATATAAAAACAAATAATACTAAATAATATACTCACTTCAACAATGTATCAATCATTTGTTGTAATTCCGCATTACGTTGCTTCGATGCCTCCAGCATCTGTAGCGCTTGATTGATACGCTTCGAGGAGACATCAGGTTCCAATGTATTCGGTGTATTTAGTTTGGTCACAAAGACATACACTAGAAGTGCCCATGCTAAGCAGAATATGATAAGGGCACGTACCCAGGAATTTGATGATGTACCAAAAAACTGACGTAATAATGACATTTGTGAAGATTTTTCATAAAACGGCGTCGGAGCGTCAGAGCTTCTGTGCGTCGGTGGCGTTCGTTTTAGTCAAATTATGTTGTACTTTGATTTAGTTGCTGATTTTGATTGGCTTGTATTGGGACACTTCACTCACTGGCTGATTGGAGATGAAAAGGTTAAAGGTGACGATTAGTTGTAATGTTTTAAGTTGTTGTAGTTTTGTGATTTTAAGGTTAAACTTTTTCTTTTAAATTTGACATTTAAAGTTATCTTTATTACTTTACTAGGCTGCCTTTCTTGTAGTTATAAAAAAACTGTGTTAAGTTTTTTCGTTTAAAATTTGTCACAGCATTTTTATTGTTTTCATTTTTATAATAAAAAACAAATAATTTTAAATTCACCTGCAATGGCAAAATGTTAATACTAATTTTTAAATAATTACTAAGTGATTATTAGGATTTAAAATTGTTCACACTTGACTTAACTTTATAAATCAAAATGTTTAAATATTTAAACGCTTAATTGTTTTTTTTTTTCTTTTGAAACTAAACAATTTTGTTTAGCACTTAATTTGAACAACACAGAAACAAGCTAAATCTACATAATGCCACACGAAAGTAAATTACAACAATAAAAATATTGAAAACAAAACTATTAGTAAAAGAGTTGAAATGCTAGCATTCATTAGCAACAAAAGTAAAAAATAATAATATTCAGCTGATAACAAAATTTACTAAACGCCTCCGTATTTAAATTTGTTTAAACGTCTCTTATTTTGCCGCATCTCTCACATTGTGTTTATTAGAACTCTCAAACTGGTTTTTACATCTCCCTCTCTGCAAATTGAATAATGTTTTTACAGCGGTGATGCCAACTAATTGTGATAAATGACTTTTGAAAGGGCAATGTGTTTGAAAAGTAGTGAATGGTAAACCCAAGGAAAAACTAACTAACTAACTAACTAACTAACTAACTAACTAACTAACTAACTAACTAACTAACTACTAACTAACTAACTAACTAACTAACTACTAACTAACTAACTAACTACTAACTAACTAACTAACTAACTAACTAACTAACTACTAACTAACTAACTAACTAACTAACTAACTAACTAACTAACTAACTAACTAACTAACTACTAACTAACTACTAACTACTAACTAACTAACTAACTAACTAACTAACTAACTAACTACTAACTAACTAACTAACTAACTAACTACTAACTAACTAACTAACTAACTAACTAACTAACTAACTAACTAACTACTAACTAACTAACTAACTAACTAACTAACTAACTAACTAACTAACTACTAACTAACTAACTAACTAACTAACTAACTAACTAACTAACTAACTAACTAACTAACTAACTAACTAACTACTACTAACTAACTAACTACTAACTACTAACTAACTAACTAACTAACTAACTAACTAACTAACTAACTAACTAACTAACTAACTAACTAACTAACTACTAACTAACTAACTAACTAACTAACCTAACTAACTACTAACTAACTAACTACTAACTACTAACTAACTAACTAACTAACTAACTAACTACTAACTAACTAACTAACTAACTAACTAACTAACTAACTAACTAACTAACTAACTAACTAACTAACTAACTAACTAACTAACTAACTAACTAACTAACTAACTAACTAACTACTAACTAACTAACTAACTAACTAACTACTAACTAACTAACTAACTAACTAACTAACTAACTAACTAACTAACTAACTAACTAACTAACTAACTAACTACTAACTAACTAACTAACTAACTACTAACTAACTAACTAACTAACTAACTAACTAACTAACTAACTAACTACTAACTAACTAACTACTAACTAACTAACTAACTAACTAACTACTAACTAACTAACTAACTAACTAACTAACTAACTAACTAACTAACTAACTAACTAACTACTAACTAACTAACTAACTAACTAACTACTAACTACTAACTAACTAACTAACTAACTAACTAACTAACTAACTAACTAACTAACTAACTAACTAACTAACTAACTAACTAACTAACTAACTAACTAACTAACTAACTAACTAACTAACTAACTAACTAACTAACTAACTAACTAACTAACTAACTAACTAACTAACTAACTAACTAACTAACTAACTAACTAACTAACTAACTAACTAACTAACTAACTAACTAACTAACTAACTAACTAACTAACTAACTAACTAACTAACTAACTAACTAACTAACTAACTAACTAACTAACTAACTACTAACTAACTAACTAACTAACTAACTAACTAACTAACTAACTAACTAACTAACTAACTAACTAACTAACTAACTAACTAACTAACTAACTAACTAACTAACTAACTAACTAACTAACTAACTAACTAACTAACTAACTAACTAACTAACTAACTAACTAACTAACTAACTAACAACTAACAACTAACTAACTAACTAACTAACTAACTAACTAATAACTAACTAAACTAACTAACTAACTAACTAACTAACTAACTAACTAACTAACTAACTAAACTAACTAACACAAGAAAGATTAATACTACGAAGTAGATTGAACCCTGTTTCATGGGAAAGAGAACGCCGGTGGCCGTCAATATTAAGCGACACCAACTAGAGGATTGGACCAACAAGGCTAGAGGATTCTGGGCGCTATGAAGTAGTAGTTAGGCTTTAGTCCCACTATGACTCACCGGGTTTATAAAAGTTTGATTAGAACAACTTAAATTTACGTTTAAATAATCTGGTGGATAGGGAGTTCAACATACAAGTTGCTTGTTGCTTCTATCGGTACTATATGACTAATATATTGATGTATTACAAAAGCAATGATAAAACTTATATACACTGACTCATATAAGTCTCCGTACATTTTTAATTTTTTCTAAAATATAAAAAAAATTTATTTTATCATAGGTGATAATGTCCTAATAAATTTTCTAAATACAAAAATTTTAAATAATACTCTAACTCTATGCTTTTGTAAATTACTTCTTAAAGTTTAAAACTTAAACGTGTCTTAAATTTGGTAAGCATCGTGTTAATAGCGAGTTCAAAGAAATTCGCCTTGGGATAACATATCAGAAACTATTTTTCGCTGATTGTGACCGATTTACTATCGATTTCGGTGTAAAAATTCCGCCATTCCGCATAAATTACGTTTTTTGAACATTGATTTGTTATAAATTGTATATTAAAAATGTTTTCTCCAAAATTCCTCACATGTGTTCTAAGGAATTATGACCTGGACTTGAGAAGAGTAAGAAGTACTTCTTTTACGTTGTCGCGTAAACGTTCACATCAAATTTTCGATAAGCGATTTGGATTGTTATCATAAACGAACTGAAAATCAACTCCTATTACTAATTTTACTGCATTGGCTTCCAAATGCTGTTTTAAAATATTTAATTAATTATATTGCCCATTGTTCTTCCAGGAATATAATACATATTTCCGAAACATCCTACAGACATTATACTCAACACCATTACTCTATCACCAAGGGGTTGCACACTTGCTTTATGATTTTTTTTTTAATTCACAAGCGGTATTTTGTTCAAGCGATACAAATCATTAACTTTCTGTTCCGAAAATGTTGGACATTGATTTCATCTGTCAAAAATATAGTTTTCCAGTTGTATTCCGCTTATTGTTGCGTAATTTTGGGATACAACAAGCGTTACTTCACATTCTTTACTGAAATAAACAATTTCTTAGGTGGAACATATGCTTTATATTGATTCAGATGATGCAAATTTTGTCTAGTTTGTGCATTTGCAGATACATTTTCACTTCTTGTACAACTCTTGGCTATTTCCACTTTTTAGAGTTTGACTATAGAGGTGTTGCATTTAAGAAATAATTTACAAAAACATAGAGTATTATTTCAAATTTTTGCAATTAGAAAATTTATTAGGACATTATGATAAAAAAAAACTATTTTTTTGCAAATCGGACAAATATTTTAGAAAATATTACAAATTATGTTTTTAAATACATTCTGTACGGAGACTTATTTGATTCAGTGTACTATTCATTTTGTAGGTGATGGAAATAAAATTCTTAAACTTATCATTCAAAACTAATAAAAACTTGGTAACTCTAACGTAAATAAACATTATTCTCTTAATTTGCTACCGACCGGCTTTTATTGAAAAGCAAACAGACAGACAAACCAACCGACCGACAGACAGACAAAATAAACACAATAAAACGTACTTAAGTACGTAGTGTTTAGAATGATGCCATAAACGTCACTCATGATTAAAAGTACAAAGAAATTTTTTTTAATTTGTTTAATTTAAAACAGTTATAAAATCATTACGATTTTTTTTTATTAAATAAACATTAGTTATGTAGGGAAATTTCTTTGAAAAAAATTAAATATAATTTAAAAAAACGTTATTGTTTATAACCCCTCAATTAAAAGTTAATTTGACATTTCATTTTCTGTCTGCTATGTTATGCAGAGATGGAATTGCTGGATTTCTTAAAGGTAAACAATATAATTCAAAGTTTATTTTGATACATTTTGGAAGAAAATGTTTTTTATTGCAGACATTTTATAAAAAAAATGTTTGTCATTTCTGAATGAGCGATAGTCGAAAAGTCGGCTTTTTATAAATTGCTAAATGTCTAGAATCGACTTTAATAAATTGCAAATACACCTTGCCCTCACTTCACTGCATTTCTTATATAAACTGTTTTTATATTTTCATAAATGAATGTGAAAATGGCTTCAACGCAAGGTGAAATGTTTTACAAAATATTAGGGTAAAAGTAGACTTTTTGTTTCATTAAAAATAGGGAAACTTTTAATGTATGCAAAATTTTCCACCCCTGTTTTGGCATTCTGTTCATGAAGGTTGTTTTATATTAAGAGAGAAAATTTGCACTTTTTGTAATGTTAAGAGAGCTAAAGTCAGTTAAATTAGACAGGGTTGCTAAGTAAGTGAAAAAAGAAACTAAAGTTTCTAGGAAACTAAAGTTTCTAGGATTTATTTAATTAAAAGAAAAATTTAAATATAATTTATTTATTCGCAACGAATTTAATTTATTTTAGTTTAAAATTTAAAGAAAAACTAAGAAAACTGTTTAGAAATATACAGTATGGTTTGCAACCAAAGTAACTTTTTTTATAAATTAACAAAATAACTTCATTAATTCGAAACGTAAACAACTTTGATTGGAGACTTATTAACGAATTACTATTAGTTCAGAGTCGAAGGTTAAAATTACATCGAAATCACTATTTTATATTGGATGTTTAGGAATGGATTGTTGTGCGTACAAGTAAATCTCTTGTAATCTATGAAAAGTCGTCTTTTCGACTTTTTGCAATTTATTAAAAGTAGAT